AAGAGAAAAGGATGTAACATTGAATGTCTTTACTGTAAGTTTTCTGTGTATGCCTCTTAATAAATCAGCAAACAATCATCCTTAACTATATTCAAGAAGGATGACTTAGAATTCATCGGTTTTTCTTCAACAGTTTAAAATCAAACATTTAGGAAAATGTTTACTTTTTCACTTTAGAGGAGTTTTGCTTTAATTTTCTCTTAATATGACTTCTGCGGTTTTTCATTTATTCTTCTTTACTCTTTTATTTAAAGAGCATGTGCAGAAGTAGTATACTTTGTTTTTTTCTGGAAGCAATCTTTGGGTTACCTAGTACTTACCAGCTTTGAGGTTCTGAGGAAGAGTGAGAAGCAGAGTCACTTTAGCTAGTTCTTAAGACTGAGAAACTGACATGATTTCATCCCTGGTCCATCTGTTCACCATTCTAAAGAGGAAAGAAGAAAGGGTGAGGAAAGGGTTCTAGTATAGTTTCTTCTCATAATTAAGAGCACAAAACGAAACTCTCCAAAATTAGAACTTAACATGCTTTCTCCTACCAGAATGTGCACTCCAAGAAAGCAGGGACACTGGTTCACTGTTGTATCCACAGGGCTTAGCACAACATTAGATACATAGCAAATGTATAATGTGTATTTGCTGATGAATGAATCCCTTCATTCCTAAAGGAGTGATTAAACATAGCACAACCCTGCCCAGCTACTTCCAGGTCCTCCCCTTCTCACATCTACTGTTAAGGCAAGTCTCCACTGTAATGAACAAGTAAACTTTACTATATAAAACTATTTTTTTTAAAAGGAGTCACAATTAGTCAGGTGGACGAAGAAACATTTTCTGTATTTGCTCCAACACCCAGTGCTATGCATGAAGCAAGAGATTTCATTACTGAAATCTGCAAAGATGATGTAAGTAGAGATCTTATACTAGTTACCTTTTTCTACTTTTTGTTGCTGTTTTCTTTATGATTCTTACAGCATATTTTACACTTACAGCAAGAGCAGCAATTAGAATTCGGAGCAGTGTATACCGCCACAATAACTGAAATCAGGTAATATTAAGTAAAATGCTTTGCTGGTTTTTAAATTATTTATATTACAAGCTCATGTTAACTTCATGTTTACATTATTTACTTTGAAGTTGTAAAGTGTTTAGGTTATATGCCAATTGCCATATAATCATTATTTTTAAGATATAATTTATTGTCTTTACCAGCTGATAGATTTTCACTAACATGGTTCTGTGATTATAATTATATTAATATTCTTCTAACTGAATTTTTTTTAACCAAATTTCCCACTATTTTAATCTTCCCAGTAAACAATAAACACGCCCAAAATGGAATTAGCAATATTTCTTTTTTCCTTTCTTTTTTATTTTTGGTAGTTTCTTGTTGATTTGTTTTAAAGATAGTACTACTTAATGCCTGAGTAGTGCATTTTTTAAAATGCCAGTTTCAACTGCAGATCATTTTTTACCAGCTAAAAAGATGGAATTTTCAGAAACATAAAATCCCCTTTTTAGGAAAAAAAGAAATTATCAGATGTAGCATGAATGTTCAAAGCTATTTAAAATGAACAATAAAAGGCAGTGGGATCATTTGCTTAACACTGTAGGTGAAAAATAAGAAATGGGATGGCTTACATTAGTAGATTAGAGGAAAAAAGGAAGAGAATTTTTTTAATGAAGAAAGTTGTCCCCTTCCTTTAATCACTACTTAATAGGTTGATGATAATTCTACACTATCTTAAAATATTTAATGTCATTTCAAAAATTTTTGGAAAATATTATGAAGAGAAATATAAAAGAGGAATATATGTCCCAAAAGCTTTTCACTGCTGTTTTTCCTTTATATTTTCTCTGTCCTTTGATTCAAAAGTATTTAAATGTAAGGTGCATTTTCAATTAAAAAATTAAGTATCCTTTTTAGATAATCATACTTTTTATAGTTACAAAAACAGGTAACGGATGGGTTTTTTAATTTCTTTTTTTACTTCGTTGTCTTACGAAAACATAATCACGGTTTAATTATCAGTAGGCATACAGCTACTTACTGTTCTAACCAGGCTTATTTCCTTTTCTTAGAGACAGTGGAGTTATGGTTAAACTATATCCAAATATGACTGCTGTACTGCTTCACAACACACAGCTTGATCAACGGAAGGTAAAAACAAGAAAGGCAGGCTTGATTATTTTTAAAACTGCCTTAAAATAACCACAATGAAATTACCTAGGTTGATGAGGACTTTACACTTTGTCTACTACTGGCCTAAATACAAAAAAGAAAGACAGAAATACTGCTGACAAAAGGTTTTACATTATTTACCACAAATATTTGTGTTTCTCCTTCCAACGTGGAATAGAAACATTGAATGTTTTGAGGTATAATAGCATCCAGAGTTAACACACAGCAATTACTAAAAATATCTAGTGATAGCCCTATTTTCCCAATTTTCCTGACCAACCAATCGTGGAAATATAATTCTTAGGATGTTTTTAATCTTTGTTGTAGTTTATACAATTGGAAGACTAAGAATATGAAACCATTCAAGAAAACTATGGGGGGCAGAGAAAAATTAGCAATGTCTGTTTTATCATATATCAAAATATGTTGTAAAGCTATAGAGGATAAAACAATGAATTACTGGCCCAGAAATAGACAACAGAGAATAGACACCAGAAATAAAAAGTTATATACATGAGAATATAATACATACTAAAAGTTGCATTTTTAGTCAGTGGGGAAACAAAGATTATTCAATAAATTATATTGGAACAGCTGGTTATCATAAAGCAGGATCTCTTCTCTTTTTATACCAAAATCCCATCTAGATCACAGAGCAAAATGGAAAAAAAAACAAAATTTTAAGGCAGTGAGGGGAAGAAAAAGAAAATCTTGTTATGGGGAGGGGTGGGGGTACAGGGAAGACACTAAAAGAAAATATGGATGTTTTAATAATCTTGGGACTGAAGAAATCTTTCTCAGCTTGATATTAAAGCCAGAAATATACATAGTGATAAAATTTGACCTCATAATTTTTTAAAATTATGGCAAAATTAAAGTAAATTTGAAAGACAAGAAGCAACTTACAGGAAAAATGCTTATAACATATGACAAGAGGCTTCATATACAAAACACTTACATAGCTCAGTAAGAAAGATGAATATCAATAGGAAAATGAGCAAAGAATTCATGGATAAATTGGTTTTTTTTTTTAAAGCCAACCAAGTTACTTGGTAATTTTTTTAAATGCAAATAAAACCAAGTTACCATTTTTCAACTTCTCAGGTAGTTGAAAATCCCCAGTGTGCATTAAAGTATAGAGAAAAAATGGACATTCTTATACACTATTTATAGAAATAAACTGGGGCAAACTTTTTGGAGAGATTTTGGTAAATGTATGAGTACCTCTGGACGTTGAAATTCTACCATTGTGGACTTTGTTCTGAGAGAATAGAATATGTGAATATGTAATCATTGCAACACTGCAATTTATTTTTCTTCAACTTTTTATTTTGAAAAATCTTAAGCCTAAAAGTTGAAAAAAATAACACACTGTACATCCATATACCTTTCATCTAGATTCACTGATTATTAATGTTTATAACACTGGAATTTAAAAATTAAACAGCCATCTTTAGGGGATTTGTTAAACAAATAATAAGAGTTTGAATATTCAACTGTAAGGCTTTGTTTATTGATATGAAAAGATCTCAACAAACTGTATAAAAGACCACATTATGAAACAAACTCAGTAAGGTCCTTTTTTACAAATGAAGTCTACACAGTGAAACATTTGAAGGGATACTCATTGAAGTGTTACCATTAGTTATCTTATGAGCACAGGGGTTTTGGATGATCATATGCATACTTCCGTATAATTTAAATCTTTGTAATTAGCAGACTTTGTAATCAGAAAAACCAGTAAAGCTGTTTTCCACTTGGAAAAAAATGTGTACTACCGATGGATAATAGATAATTAGGCATGACAATGAATAGATTAACATGTTCTCTTTCAGATTAAACATCCCACTGCTTTAGGATTAGAAGTTGGCCAAGAAATTCAGGTACTTGTATTCAATCTTTTAGCCTTAAAGTTGTACATTATACTTCGAATTTTCCATTATTTGTTCAACAAATAAGCTGAAAGAATCAAATTAACATCTGTGATTAAATGCGTGCTTCTATTTTAACTTTAGAGTTGCTTGAAACAGACTCATTGTGCTTCTATTTTAACTTTAGAGTTGCTTGAACAGACTCATTAGGGATTTAGATACATTTCTTTCCCTCAAGGAGCTTACAGTTTAGTTAGAACAATATTCCACTTTAGAGCTTTTAAAAATACATGAGTAGGTCAGTGATGGCTATGCAGAGTCAGTGATCTGGAGACAGGAGACACGAGAAACTTGATAAGGTAATTTTGTTGAAGGCCTTTGATTGTCATATTTGAGGAGTTGAGACTTTAATTGCTTCTATACTGCTGGGAGGCTAAAAATTTTTGAGTTTGATGAAAGCCATGTTGTTCAGTTCTAGAAGTCTGATAACAAACTTGACCTTTTTAATAGTGCTTTATGATTAGATGAGTAGATGAAAGAAGTGGTTGCTAGTGTGTGTGTGTGTGTGTGTGTGTGAGAGAGAGAGTATATATATATATACACACACATACTTTTTTATTTTTGGCTGCACCACATTCTGTTCCCATTATACCTATGATCTGAGTAACTAAGATTTCTAGTTTATTCCCAATCTGTAGTCCCATTGTTCAAGTAGCCTCTAGGGAAAGATGAGAACTAAGACATAATCTCTCTGTATAAGATTGTTATTTTACATCAGAAGGGACTTTTAAAATTACCACATTTTCCCCTGACTTTCAGTGTCTAAGTTGAAACCAAATAACCTCCAGTGTGATAGATAGTACTTTGAGTGGTTGTCACAGTGACCTAAGCATAATCCTGTATAGTTTGTAGCACAGTTAGGCTCAGGAAGCTCTTATCTAGAATCATTCACTATGGCTTTCACTGTTCTTGCAACATAGGGACCTGGCCTGGACAGAATAAGAAGGCATAGATTGAGTCTAACAGAAGACTATAATTGGGCAACTAAATGCCCTTGACTCTTCTTTTTTCCTAATTACTACTTAACCAAATTATATTTATTAGCATATACCTCCACTTAGCACTGAGCTATGCTTTTAGTGAACAAGTAAAAACATTAATCATTGCCTTATATGGACCATGTAAAATTAAATATCTTTTAATTTGTATATCAATCAATGTGTTATAACTTTTTAAGTATATTTGTTTCTTTAACACAGGTGAAATACTTTGGACGTGATCCAGCTGATGGAAGAATGAGGCTTTCTCGTAAAGTGCTCCAGTCTCCAGCTACAACTGTCGTCAAAACTTTAAATGAAAGAAGCAGTATCATAATGGGAGAATCTGTTTCACAGTCATCATCTAATTCTTCCCGGTGATTTTTTTTTTAAAGAATACTAGAGTGATAGTCTGTAGAGCAAAATTTCAGTAGTATCTCCTAATGTGAGATTTATACATAATATAAATATATTCTAATGATTTGTATTAAAATTTCTCACTTTATGTGTTCCATTTTTTAATTTCGAGTTACCTATATTCTCTTATTTACATTATAAATTAATATTTATTAAAAGTAAATTATTTATACATCTTAAAAAAGATTACCAATTCCTATAATTTTGAAGCATCTGAAAAATTTAGAAATAGATCACATTTGCTACTGTAATGGATCTCTTCCTACTTATTTTTCTTCTTTCTATGTGTAGTGGCGGTTTAGTCAGTCATCTAATGGCTCTCCTCTTTGTACAACAGCTTTACTTGCCCACACTGTTTGACAAACTAGAACTTGCCATATTCAAAACCAGTGACAACTTCTTTAGTAGTTACCAGATATATAATAAGGAGCTGAGAGAGCTCTTTGGTCTGATTTTAATGATATACCGTCTTTCAAATTGGTCACAAAACCATTAACATTGTGGAGTAAATATTATAAATCAGATTCCTAACTAGAATGAGGTAATATGTTTTTCAATTTAGAAAAAATAGAAAAATAATTTACTCATCAAATAGAACTACGTCACTTTTTTGTGTATATGTTGCTAATGTATGGATGTTCTTGGTAGAAGAGATGGAGGAATTAATGATTTTCAGTTAATAAATAAATGTTTGAAACAGCCATGTATAGAGGCTGTTGATATAATTATAAATAATAGCTGTAAGATGATGTTCATTCCCATTATTTAGTGTATCATGTTATAATTCCACAAAAAAATGAAATGGTTCATGAAGTCATAATTTAGAATATTCAGTCCTTTTATAAATCTGTTGAAATATTTCTAAATTCATGACTCAGGGCTAACTATTCATAAAATACTAAAAATTCAGCTAGCCAAAGATTTTTTTAAATGTGCGTATTTAAGTCAATAAATGTTGATTATATATATCTATAGTGTGTAAAACAGCACGATAGGCAATGCTGATATACTTTCTGAAATACTGAAGAGCAACTGAAAAGGAAAGAAAATGAAAATTTAAACTATATGCTTTATATTTTTTATTGTTCTATTTTACAATGACAAAAAAATTTTTCAGTTTGACTTGTCTAAGATATAATCCACGAGAGAATTTCAAAATTATAATTTGTTTTTCTTGAGTCTTCTATTTTCGTTTTCAAAGAGACTCCCCACTGCCAATAATACAGAAAAATAAAGCTAGTTCTTAAACTCTAGAGACCAGTAGTGCCACTAAGTGACAATATAAGTTAGTAATCACAAACCACCAAAAGGATCCCATTTTCACTAAACCAAGAACCTACACTTTATGTCTGAACTTTTCTTGTTTTAGTCTTCATTCAAATCTTGGTAGTTTTCCCTGCTTTCCAATAAGGTTTTTCTGTGGGGGCAATTATATACTAAAATCTCTCATTTATAATGACTCAATTCAAATTGACTGTCCATCTTTGGTAGTTAGTACAATATAGATACTTATAAGGCTTTTTCCTTCATATTTCTTTGTTACTGACACCTCCTGCCAATAAATTACAGTTTTTATATGATCATTTTTTTCTTCTCTTCTAGAATATCTTGAATTTCTGGATCTAAGATAGTAGTATGATTATCAGTATCTTATTAGTTCAGTTCAGCCAAGCATAGCATTTATTTATTCAACACTTACTATGTGCTAGGCAATACAATGTGTGCAGGGTAATGCATCAATAAACAAAACAAAAAAAAGTTCCATTGCCCATTGCTCATATTCTAGTGGATGGGAACAAACACTAAATAAATTTGCTACATGTCAGGTAGCAGTAGGTTGTTTAAGGAAAAACAACTGTGTTAGGGGACAGAGTGATAAAAATAAGGCACTGTTTTAGATGAAATGATCCACAATGACATCTCTGATTAGGTAACATTTGAGCAGAGACCTGATGAAGTGGAGGAAGATGTGCAGCTATTAGGGAAAGAGAATTCCAGATAAAGAGACTAACAACTTTATTGGTATTGTATGTTTAGAATATACAGCAGCCTTTCCATTTTATAAACCAGTTCACATAGTCTTTTACTCCTTAATCTTCTGCCCATTCTTCACCAGAATTAGAAAGCAAATTTTAAAGAATATAAGACAAGGGGAGATAGCCAATGCAAAGTGGTATTTTCAGAGCATTTAATCAGGCAAGAATATGCTTGGTTACTTGCAGGAAGGAAGACACTGAGATGCTATAAAAGTTTAAAAGACTTCTACAAAATTCCAGGCTCAAGAAACTAAGGTAGTAGGAGCAAAAATGGAAAAGAGAGTATGTCTTGGTATTAAGGGACAGAAACCAACGTAAGTTAAGCTAAAGCAAAGGAGGAAATTTACCATAGGGCCATGAATTTATTTCATGGAAGCCAAGTCACACTCCCTGTGGTGGACTGGAACCAGGACTGTCAAGTTATCAGGAACTATGGTAGTTCTTACTGCCTGTGGAGTCTTATGGCCTCTCATTTGTGCTTCGTTCCACATAACAGCTTTATTCTTCTATGCAAATGGATTTTCAGAGCATGGGGCAAAGATGGCGATTCCATAGGAAGTTACTTGTCTCTGAGTTCAAATTCTCCTGGAGGAGAAAATGATAGGCTCAGCTTGAGAAAGGTGTCAAACCTGAGTAGGATTGCCAGATAAAATTAACAGAATGCCAACTGAAATTGGAATTTCAGGTAAATGAATGTTCAGTGTAAGTATGGCCCATGCAATATTTGGGATATACTTATATTAAAATTTTTGTTTATTTGAATTCAAATTTAACTAGGTGTGCTATATTTTTGTTTGCTCAATCTCGTAACCCTAAGTCTAGTACAAGCAACTAGTCAAGAGAATTCTCAGATGCCCACTCCTGAGAAGGGAGAATGTTCAGAAAGAGTAGGCTGAGCCGATACCAAGATACTGCAGAACAAATATAAAAAGAAAATGGATAGACTTATATTACTCAGAATGGGATGTAGGTGGAATGTGAAGGGAACAGAAAGAAGGAGGTATAGCCGAGGATTTCAGCCTGAAGGTTGTGAAGACAGTAGGATCTGTGACATGAATAGTAAACCTAGAGGGTCAAAGCAGTTATTGAAGAGAAAGGTGTCAGACTAAATGTAAGTGTGAAGTCACCAACCAACATATTGGCTGGATATTCATCTGAATATCCTAGAAAGCAGTTGGGACATAAGTAACTTATGCAGAGATAATATTTTTAAAACAATCCCAGTTTTACCATCTCAGGCATATCTCAAATCACTGTAACAGTTTCAAAATACTCTGAAACTTACAAAATTAATTTAAAGGTAATTAAAACTCCCTATTATGAGCACAGTACTAAGCTATCGGATAGTTTGTTTCCTACCGATACATATACATAGTCTAATATATAGAGTTAACCAATTTATGAAAGGCAGGCTCATGAGCACTCTAGTTGAGGTTTTAAAAAGTCATAAAAAATGGGGAAAGAATAGGTTAATTCTACCTGGAAGAAAAAGTGGAAGTTGCTAAGACATGGACTTTGAAAAGGATTTCAATATGGAGAGGTGATATCTGAGCTGCACTTTAAAGGATGATTATAAAGGGAAAGTCTGCTGATGGAGTGGAAACAGTTTTATCAGTAGATAAAGAAGACAGTAAATAGAGGTCAGACTGTAGAGGGGTTTAGAATATTAGACTTAGGACTCTGAACTTTATTCTGCATGTGTTGGTAAACACTGAAGAATACCCAACATTTCATGGAAACCAAAACTGCTTATTTGGCTATAGTTTTGATACAGTTTTATGGCTATACATTTTAATGCAATTGCCAAGGACTCATAGATTAGAAGAGGTGATATTTTTTAAAAAGCATAAAAATATTACCATTATCATTTATGAAAACAGGCAAATTATCTTAATAAAATTTTGGAAATAGCTATCAGGACCAAGTAGATCTGTGGGAATGCAAAGATGGACAGGCATATAATCTCTATAATGAATTACAGAGAAAAACCATATGATAACAAGATGCAAAAGAGGCAATTTATAGACTTCAATGTACATTTCCTAGAGAATTTCGAATATTAGGAAATGTCCTTAACTTGGTAAATGGTATCTATCAGAAATTAAGAATATGTATACAACACTGGAGATGTTGCCATTGAAGTGAGGAAGAAAATAGTCATCACTATAACTCTCATTAGTGTTCTGAGGTCCTAAACAACATGATAAGATTAAAAAGAGGTGGAGGAGTACAAAAACATCTACAGATAACCATCTGAAAAACACTAAGTTGCTATAAAACAATGTGTTAGAACTAGTAAGTGAGCAGTGGCCACATAGGTTTGCCAAAATAAACTGCTGTCTTCTCCAGCAGTCAAACGTTGCCGTGGTATGAGCTCATTTCCACTTCTCACACTTTTTTCACGTTTTGAAGAGCTATGTCAGCAGTGAGTTTGCCCCATCCCCTGGGGTCCTGGCCAGGGTTAAATCTTATGTCCCAAAACGTATCTCAAGTCAATGAAATTTTTATTAGCCAGACTTAACCTCCAACCCCCTTGATCAAGCACCCTCAAAATCCAATCCCAAGTGTACTTCTCTGGCTCCTGCTAGTACATGCTAGCTTATTTCAGTTACTTCAGTGTGTAGTCTTCTTCCTACCTTATCAGGCCCAGCAGTCCCCAGCAGAGTATGCCGAGGTTACCTAACTCTAGTTACCACAGCCTCTCAGCTAAGAGAAGAAACGGGAGCAACTATGGAAGAGGTCTTTCTGCAAAGGGGTGGGCAGTGTTACCTCTTGCTAGGTATTATGAGCCATTTCTGCAAGCCCTGAGGACCCAAGGGTGTCTACAGAGCCAAAATCCTCAGGGACACCATCCCTAGTTTCAAAGCTTCAGACTTTTCCCAACCAGGGCCCTAGATGCATAGCAGACCTCCCTAGGCTGAACATTCTAACACCTTTAGAGCTCTGTAACTGTCAAATCTCATGTCTGTTCTTCCACTGCAGGGCCTCTTATGAAGCCTAAAGTGTCGCCCTGGCTCCCAAACTTAGTTCTTAACTGTATTAAGCGCCTCATTTCATTTTCCTTCTGCAAGGCAATAGTACAACTTAATCTATCCTTGTAAGCATTGTTTCCCCATTTTTTTCAAATCCTGAATCACTGAATAGGCAACAGCATTCTTCCTCCTTCTAGGATGTTTTCCTAGGTCACTACTGGTGTAGTCAGTAGTCACTTTGTGCCAGAGGCTAAGTAAACCATTCCCCAAACCCCATCTTACTGCCTGATTTCTGGCACCCCTCCCCATATTACCAATGTCAGTTCTGTCCTCAGAGAGGCATATGCCAATAAAGGATTAGTCATACAAGATACTGACTGGGGGAAATGTCTGTGAAGGATAAAATAAGTGGGCTCAGGAATTGACAAGGAGAGCCCACATACCACAGTGCAAGTCTGACCTCTGTAAAAGGAGGGAGGGAAGGAAATACTGGATAGAAAGAACTTCAGACTATTGTAATTCCAAGAAAGTCTCATTCAGGCTAGTAAGTTCCTCAAGCCAAAGATGCCCATTTTAGAGGAGTTCTGCTTTGGACAGCAAGGACAAATTTTGTACCCCTGCTATGCTCAATCACCGGCTGGGAGCAGCTGGAGCTATCTGTGGCTTCAGCACAAACATAATGGTGTATCCAAAAGGGTGGCAGCTGGCTGTCAACTATGTTCCCCAAAGCAAGTTCTCTTTAAGGAGATGTGAGTGGTGTACTTATGGCCACCACACCAAATATCAAAACAAATTACAGCAATTAAAACTCATACTAGAGTTGATCAAATAAAATAATGGAAAAATAATGAATTCAGACTTAAATCCAGATATATGTATATAATTGTGTGTGTCTGTGAATTTAATAAAGAATATGATCTAAGTAGCATTTCAACAAGAGAATGAATTATCTCCACAAAAAAATCAAAGGATCAGGGGTGAGAATTTGAGGGCAGGGTAAAAGTCTACACAGAGGGGCTACAGGCCTGGGTCCACTTCCCTATCCCCATTACCAAAAGACTCCCCTCCAAACACATATACCCATTCGTACCCATACATGCCCATGTAACACTGCCGCCGCCATCTTAGAAGAATGATTTATTTTCTGAAACTGGAGAAACTTTTGACTTGGGGACACTTGTCACAGGAGATAGTGGGAGATTGTGAAACAGGGTTAAAAGTGGGAATTAAGTGAAAGCCTGAATACCAAATAGTTGGATCTCTAGTCTTCCTCTGTCTTTACTCAGGCAGGATATAGGGGAATATCTGGAGAAACTTACACTCCCCCAAAGAAAAGACTTCTAAAAACATCTGGTAAGAGTTAGGGGAGGGGCTGTGATGGGAAAAGGAAATCACCCAAGGGAAGACCAATAGTCTGTAACCTTGCTCTTGGGAGTAGAGAGGCAGGGTTTGGTAGGGGTCAAATGGTGAAGAGCTTTATATGCCATCCTACAGAACTTTATCCTATTAGAAATCAGAAACTATGGAAGATGTTAAAATAATATGAATTTGTTTCATGTATCACTCAGTGGTGTGTCAAGAATTGACTGCTTGGAGATAGAAATTAGAGACAACAATCTGGAGCTTTCAAATATTAACTGAATCTCAGTTGAGCTCATAGGGTAGTTTTTAAATTATCTGCTACAGGGAATGTCAAAATAAGTAGTTAACTTCTAGAGGAAACTTCATTCTTTCAATAGTTATTGAGCACCTGCTGTATTCCACGCCCTATGCTAGGCACTGGAGACACAATGGTGTGAAAAAAAAAAGTTCCCTGGATTCTTGAAAATTTTTCATCTAGATATGGAAACAGTTATTAATCAAAAATTTTACATAAAGCTCCAAGTACGACAAATGCTACAAATGGAGGGGCACGTGGTGCTATAACAATGTGTAATAAATAGGAAGATAAAAGTAATACTCTTGTCTTCCTAGCATCTATTTTACCCATATCACATAGTGTAACATCCATGGGATTTGGGTGGGATTAACCCCACTCCCAACTACAAGCATGGGGTCTGATTAGCCTCAGCCAGTCAATACTCGGCATTCCCTAGACCACAAAACTTTAGGTTCAAGGATGGGCACGTGACATAAGTCAATATAATCACAATGCAACAAGGGATAAGTGAAGAAACTCTTTCGACATGGATGAACTATGTAGCCTTGGCTACCAGCTTAGGATACGAAAGGAGTCATCCTTAAAATGAATCTGACAGAGCAGAAAGTAGAATTGAGAAGCAGAAAGAAATCAGTTTCTCGACGGTACTGTTGAGTCACTCAATCAAATCAACCCTGAAGTTCCTCTTACCTCCAGACTTTTTATTCACATAAGCCAATAAATTCTCTTAGCACTTAAACCAGCGTGAATTGGGTTTTTTGGTACATTCCAAGAGGATTTGAACTAGTCAGGAGAGTCAGAGACAGCTCTTCTATGTAAGTGATAATTGCGGTGGTAACTGAAGTATAAAAACAGGAGTCGTCATGAGATGACTAGAAGGAAGAAAGTTAAGACAAAAAAGTGTCAATTTTAACTCAGATCAAGTAAAGTGGGTTGAAAATTTTCAACTGGCATTATCAACATAGATGTCTTTAGTGAGTTTATCAAGAGCTTTCTGGTGAGTGCTAGGGGTGATGGAAACCAGAAAAGATAGGTTCAAGGGAGGAGTATGGGAGGTGAGGAAATGAAGGGAGGATAAACAAGTTCAACCTTTGAACAGTTTGGCTAAAAAGGGGGAAAGAAATAGGAATGTAGCTGAAGAGGATGTAGGTTATCAGTTTTGATGGCTTATTTAAATGGGGACGGCCTTAAGGATTAATCACCTTAAGGGAAAAAATGAGTGAATATAGCAAAAAACTTTCATAAAAGTTTTTTCATAAAAACATCTTACAGAATAAGGAAGGGTGAAAACAAAAAGCCTCACATTTCAAAGATGTAAGACATGAACCAGTTTACCCTGTAGAGAATAACAATATACATTTTTTAACCCTCAAGAATTACAAAGTGTAATGTGCCCTCAAAAGACATTTGGCTATTATGGAAGATAATTCTGATTATCACAACAGGAGAAGGGGGTGCAATACTACAGCATCCAGTGGGTAGAAGAAAGGGATACTGCTAAACATCCTGTAATGCACAGGACAGCCTCTTACAATTAAGAATTACCCAGCCCAAAATGTCCATGGTGCCAAGGTTGAAAACCCCTGCTCTAGGAATTTAACTTACAAATAATGGTACACATGAAATAACTTCTGTGTAATCATTTACTGTTTGAAACTGCAAACTATTGGAAATGACACATATACATAAATAGAAGATAGTTTAAATAAACTAGGGTACATTAATACAACAGTATGTGTGGTATTCCATTATGTGTGTTTAAAAAAAGGGTGGTAGCTGTAAATGTTGCAACCCTTGGAATGGAACTCTAATGACTGCCTGAAGAAAATCTCTGCTAGGGAAAACACATTGTTGCAGTGCACTTCCGACTTCCACCTTCCGACTTCCACCTTCGTGTGTTTTAGAGAAAACTGCTCTGGCCTTGTCAGTGCTCCTCTCCATGAGGTGAGAAGTCCATGAAACCAAGGGATGTATCCACCTGGAACCCACTCTTCCCATTCTAGACCATGCTCTGGGCACCCTCAAATTCCCTGTCCCAAAGGCCAAGCCGGCTCCCAGGGTCTGCACAGTCCTTTTCCCAAACTGTCCTCCTGAGGAGTGGCCAAGGGATGACTACCTTCAGGAATGTACAGACAGGGCTTGGACAGAAGGCTTGGGGTAACCTAGGTATGCACATGAGGGCTATCAAAGTGCAGGACAGAGCTGAGGTGTGAGAAGAGAAGAAAGGCAGACTAAGGACTTCAGGGGCCAGAGGGAGATTCTGGAACTCTGAGGAATTCAAGAATTCTAGATTTGAATCTGGTTTCCAGGTCATTATGAAAATATATTTGTTAAGGTATACCAAAGGTAGGAAAAGAAAATATACTTTAACAACTTGACTTAAAACTTTTAAATTTTTAGACTTCTAATTTTTAAATCTTTTAAAGTATATGGTCTTCCATTTGTATGCTTGTCCTGCACCTTACAAATGTTAGAGGTGGGCCTGTTGCAGTAGAAGAAAGAGGGAATCCCTATGACCTAGGGCAAGAAAAAAATCAACAACGTGTGCCTGAGAATCCAGCAAGGGGCAAGAGATAAGCCCTAAGAGTTTAAATTTGTTCCCTTATTTCTTTGTTCCCTTATCCCAGATCTTAGGGAGTATAGCAGAAAAGAGATACTTAATGGGAAGATAGCAGGGATGCTTTGAAACATTTTTCAGATCATTTCACTCCTTAGTTCAAACTCTCCAATGGATCTGCAACTCATTCAAAGTAAAATCTAAGGCCCTTCAACAGCTTTTCTCCCACTCCCAACCTTATGTCCCACAATTTTCCCCCTTTCTCACTCCACTCCAGTCACACTGCTTTCTTTGCTATCCTTCTCGCTCACTCAGCATTCTACAGCCTCAAGGCCTTTGTACTTTCCTTCTTCCTTGCTCTCACTTCCCCTAGGCAAATGCATGGCTGACTGCCTCTCCTCAGAGGCCTTCTTCAGTAAACACCATTACCTTTCCCAAATTCACTCTTTAATCTTTTGTTACTGTATTTTTTGGTCATAACATTTACCAGTCCCTGGCACATATCTGTTTTATTGTCTTCCTACACTAGAATGTAAGCTCTATGAGAACAGGGACTTTTTCTATTTATAAGTCTAGAACAGTGTCTAGCACATAGTAAATACTCAACAAATATTTGCTGAATAACTGACTAAAGACAGGAAATGACTCCTATTATTTCAATTTTTTCCAGAGTTCTGTCTTATTTGTGGGATATCAAAGTCTTAACAGGTATAGTGTCAAAGTGACTTCTGTATAGTCCTCACTCCTTTAACTTAATACATAACATACATAAATTCTTTTAGGCCAGTAACACATTATGATTTGGTTCACCTGATCCCCTCAGTCCTGAACACCTTTCAAACCAAACTCCCACTCAGGGGTCCTCTAACATCAGGCTCAAAAGTTATCTGTGTGAAGCTTTCTCTGACCTAAGACAGAAATGTTATTTTCTCTGGGCTCAAAATGCATTTTGTCCACATGAGTCACAGCATTTAACCTGGCTCTATGCTACATAATATTATAACTACTTAATTCAAGTATTTTTTTTAGGTTCTGTTTAGATTACAAAGAAATCGTGTGTCCAGATTTTGAAATTAAATTTTTTTTAATCTGGCGCATGCTATGTGTAAGACGTCTCACGTTTTAGTGTACCGCGGGAGGGGTGTACACACAAGATCTTGTCAAAACCTAAGCGCGTTTTGACAACACCACTGATAAGGAATGACTACAACTCCCAAGATGCACTTCAGGGTAAACGTGTGCGTCTCGACAGGTTTACACCTTTCAGACTAACGGGTTGTAAAGAGCTGGCGGGAGAACAGGCTAAAACTGTCTTTAAAAATGAATAGTAGGATTCTACTAAGACCGAACGGGAATTTAAATAAACGACTGCCCAGCACATGACTTGTATCCACTGCGCAATATTTAACAACTAATGTGATGTTTGACAATTAACGTGAGTGCCAAGAGAATTCCTCCGCTTATTCAGTGCAGATGACCTCCCGAAAGATAACGCAAGAAAAGCCAGCAAGAGAAACAAAAATATCAAAACAATGCTCTTAGACGTGTTAGAAGGTAGCTCCCCGCCACTTTCCGAAACTTATCTGAAGACTTCTTTTCCGAGATTACAAACAGGCGAAGGACACTGTATTTTCATGAAGCTGAAAGTATGCTTTTCAACGGCTAGGCACCAAAAGCCTAACGGTAAAATACTTTGGAGGGAAATAGGAAA